GGCTAGTAATGTGAGCAAAGGGGGGTTGAGGAAGTTCACCTGATACAGGTGTGGAGGACGGCTTGTAGGGGAAACTGGAGGCTGGGCCAGATGTGAGATTAAGGACCTGGCTAGGGTGGGGCTGGCAATCAATATTCCTGATTCCTCTACAGCTCCCCACCTGCTGGCTGTATAGCTCTAAAGAGGGGTGAGGCCTGGGACTGGCTGGAGAGCTCGCTTGGTAGGTACTCTGCAGGGTGTGTACTAAGGAGGGTCTCTGTTCTGGGTGCAGCAGGGTGCGGAAGGCAGGCAGGGAGCTGGGATGGTTTGCTGTCACTGCCCATATGTACAAGGTGGAAGGCTGGCCTTGTACAGACCCAGCTCAGCTGGCCCAGTGGAATACATGGGCATGGTTCTCCTGCAGTAACAATCTTACCATTAATTACTGTTTTATTTTCTAGGCACTTTGCACATTAGGGCACAACAATCTTTTAAACATTAACCTAGCAAATGAGGAAACAGGCCCAGAGAGATTACGTAACTTGCCAGGATCACACAGCAACCAGATCCAGATCCAAAGCCATGATATTTCCACCTCACCATGATGCCTGCCTCCCTAGGTGGTACAGAGTAGAGAACAGCTAGGGGGATGGGAAGGAGGAGAAGCATAAAAAGGTGGCATCATTTGAGCAGGCTTGGGCTTAACCCAGGTGGTGCAACCAACCGGTTTGTGCTCATCTACTACCCTAAAGGTTGGTGGTCCAAAACCACGCAGCAGCACAGTGTAAGAAAGGCCTGACAATCTGCTTTGGTAAAGATAATAGCCAAGAAAACCCTATGGAGCAGTTCTAGTCTGTAACACATGAGGTCGCCATAAGCTGGAATTGATTTCAACAGCAAGGGCTTGATTTTATTGGTATGATGCCACCCAGCTTCTGCTCGTGCTCTTTCCTTTGGCTAACACGCCATTCCTCTTCTCCTAAAATTATCTAAGCACCATCATATGCCAAGGCTGAGCTCAAATCTCAACTTGCCTTGAGTTCCTTTCCAGGCCTTGGAGAGCTCCCTGCAACTCCGGTCTGAAATTTTTCTTGGGCACCAGGCAGGGCTTCTAACTGGTTTGTTTTGGTTCGACCCACTGCTGAGAATTTGCATTTCCACCACAGATACAATACTGAATCAGAATCTACATTTTAACAAGATCCCCAGGTGATTCTTATAGATCATAACATTTTAACATCTTCGAACCGAAACAAACTGGTTTGAAGTTCTAGGCACCAGGCACACATGACCTTTTGTTGCTATGTTTTCCATGAGTCAGTGTCCTGGCTCAGATACGGGGCTCCGAGGCCAAAGACGACACGAATCTCTCTGTAGGCCCTGGGCCTCCGTAAGTGTGTGATGATGCCTGGGCTGGAACTAAGAAAGTGAAGCACTGATGCACAATATTGAAGGAGGTCCTCACTCTCGGGGTCATGGAAATGCTTCTGCTGGCAGCAGCTGAGGGAGCCTGAGGAAAGCAGAGGCCAAGCTGTGTGTGAGCTCAGAAGTCTGACGGTGAGTCACTGAACAGGATAGTCCACTTCCGAGAATTCTCACCATGTGTGCTTGGGTGTTGGGGGTGGACTTATCTGCTAATTAATAGATAGCGCTTATAACAATACTTCTGTTCCCAGCCTAGTAGTTTAATATTAAGGACTCTTGCCCTAATCAAAAGGCATTAAACCCAAAGGTTATCACATCAATCTTTAAAATAAAAATAGAAACGAGTAGGATGCCGCACCTTGCCCTGGCTTACACACCCAACTGTGAACTTGGAACACTCTACTGAGACCAAAACCATTGAAGGGAGATTGGCTAGTGGTCATTGCTACCCTCCCACTAGAATATAAGCAGAACCATTGGTTTCATCAACCATTTTTACCCTACAACTGGACATTACGGTGTTGAGTGAAAACATAAACAATTTAACGTATACATTACCCTGAAATAACAATGACAATGCCTTGGTCAAGTGAGCTTTGTTGTTGTATGCATTGAATCGATTCCAAATCATAGCGACCCTATAGGACACAGTAGAACTGCCCAATAGGGTTTCCAAGGCTGTAATCTTTATGGGAGCAGTCTTTTCTCCTCTGGAGCGGCTGGTGGGTTCCTAACACCAACCTTTCAGTTGGCAGTTGAGCACTTAACTATTGTGCTACCAGGTCTTGCAAAATCATGAACATTTTCAGCAGAAATGGACATGATCAAAGTTTAAGAATGATACAAAAATTTTGGGGTGTGTGTGAAAAGTCCTGTGATGAGGACCACATGGTTGAGGATTTTTACAGATTCCCCAAGTGGGGGCTTCCCCGGAGCTGACCTATGCTGGTTGGTCCCTACTCACTTTAACCCTGTGGGACCCAGAACCCTTTTTTTCCCAAAAAAAAAAAAAAAGTCAGTGTGGCAGTGACACTATCACTAAGTGCGTGCTCTCCCACGTTTCCTAACCCTCCTGTGGTTGGCGCCAGGATGCCAGTCCTGGCCAGCTTGAGTAGAAGTGACGTGTCACTGCAGCCAAACCTGACTAGTGCAATCAGCAGTATTAGAAACTTACTAGCTGGGAGCTTCTCAGCATAGCTGAGGCTTGTAAAAGGCTCAAGAATACGAACAGCACAGTAGCACAGTACCTCTACATGCATCTTGACTAGACAAGCATTGACTTCAAGATCCTTTTTTTAAATTAAAAAAAAAAAAAAAAGCTTTCACCTTAAAGTTAGCCTGGTCCCTCCTGCCCCGCTGGAGTGCAGGGGACATTCGAGAAAACACGCTGTCCAAACAAGGCCTGTCACTGCAGTGTGAGCTGCAGCATCCTGGCCTCTTTGTTTTGGCGGTTCATCGCCCTTCCTGTGTGTTTAAGTGGATGCTCATTTGCATTTCCTGAGCTGCCCAGTGACAAGTGAGCAGAAGCCCAGAAGCCTTGCTGGAGAGAGCGGGAAATCAGAATTCAACCTTCCCTGGGAGGATCGCGGGGCCTCCTGAGCCGGATTTTCCTGCATTCGTTAAAGATGATGCAGGACCCGCTGAGCGTGCAGTTTTCCATCTGTGTGTCACTTCTTCAAGTTTCTTTTCTTCTACTGACTTTGGGGCAATTTGTTGGTTTGTGGAGATGGTGATTTCAACCCAGCTCTCTATAGAGAGGTTCTTGTGGTTTTACCACCTACGAGCAGTAGCAGGTCCTGATTTTCCTGCCCAGTTGTTTATCTAGAACTAGGAGCTGCAGGTCTCTCACCCACAAAGGGCTAGGCCCTCAGCCAAAGGTGCCCCAACACCCCACACAGCAGGCGAAGTCCTATGAGCTGCTTCCAGAGGATGAAGGCCCTGGGACCTCTGTGACAGAAACATTTACCAGGAGAAGCACCCTTTGGCACCACTGCAATTCCTGAGGTAGAGTCTTTAGGAAAATTAAAAGCAGCTCTCCAGTCACTCTGAAAGCCTCACTGAGAATGCTAATCATTTAACCTGACTGGGGCCCTCACGCGGCTGGCCTCAGAATCCTACTTTTTTATTCCCCTTCATTTCCTAACAGCTTCCAGCCACCCACTTGCTGTTAAAGACATACTCCATGGGCTTTTCTCTTTTTTTCTTGCTCATCTCCTCCAGCTGCTGTAATTTGAGGCTGGAACCATGCACACTGTTCTTTCAAGCAATTCTCTAATGCCTTGCATAACCATCCTTCAGAGATGGAACGAGATAGGAAAACCACGTGGTCTAGGAATGAAGGAAGAATTCGGAGAGGAAAAAAGCTGAAGTGGTCACAGGATTTTATGGATTCACAGAACATCTCCTTCCAGGAAGCCAGCCAAAGAATAACTGTCCTGGGTTGGTATCTACTCTCTTCCCATTAGCTGTAAATGAGATTTTGGTAGAAGATAGTCTTAATTATTCCAAGCAAATAACAACCCTTGAGGGGCTGAATGCCATCACTGAATTCCATTGCTTGGTTTGTGTGCAGTGAGGTAGACTTACTCTGAAGAGCAACTTTGAAACATGAAGAGACATCATTTTTGCACTTCATCATAATCTCAGGATGCCAAGTGTACAGCAGCGATCACCCCACCCCCTCCTCTATGATAAACGAAACTGAGATAAAGGCTGCCAGAGCCAGAACACGTTCACTGCTTCCTGCTGCCTCTTCCGCCCCAGCCACTCTGATCATGACGCGTCACCCAGGCAGACCTCTTTTCATCTCTAGTCTCTCTTTCAGAGTGGAGAAGCATGACACACAGAAGGCTGGGATCAGAATAAAGACCTCAGAGTGCCACAGCATCTACGTAGTCTGTGACTGTTTACAGTGAAAAATATTACATCAACCCCAGAGGCTCCTTATAATTCCCGCAGAAATGATCCCTGGTTGTGGGCAGCAGGGACAGAATACCCAACAAGCAAGGTACACGCGGGGCTTACTTGCGCTTACTCACTCATCTACAGGGCACAATTTCACTTGTTTTTCACCACATCAAAGATGGGGTGAAACTCATGTGAAATGATGCACTACAGATGAGTAAGTAAAGCCAATGCGAACCTTGCTTACTGGTTAATCCGCTCCTGGTGGGGAGAGAACTCTGGAAGGAAACAAAAGTTAATTAACATACTTTCTAAAATGTCAAACCAGTTACGTCTTTCACCTCAGATGAAAAGGTTTGGAGATGACTGACCAGGGAAGGACACGATTTAATTCCAAATTATTCTCCTTTTGGGTGAATCAGAATTCTTTGATTCCGAGCAGTCTTTACGTGGGAAGTAGTGAATCCACGTTAGCAGCAACCACATAATCACAAGAAAGGCAAAGCCAGTGCAGACTGGCAAGATGTTCCTGCCCCCAGAGTCACATATAAGAAGTTAAAAATCTGACAGAACACTGTAATAGAAAATCAGCTTACCTGAACACTAAGAACCTATTTTCTCGGCACCTCAGGGTTTTTTTTTTTTTTTTTGGTTTTCTAAAAATCTATTAACTTTATGGCTCACCTGTGACACAGCTAATACATCTTACAAAAGGCTAGAGCTAGGAAGAACCTTAGAGATAACAAGTTCAAATTATTATTCAGCTGAGAATGACACCTAGAGAGGTTAGGTGACTTACCCAAAGTCACTCAGCTAATGAGTACTGAATATGGCATCTGAATGCAGGTCTCCAGAACCCTCACACAAAGCTATGACCTGTGGGGATGCCATGTAAGGTGTGGACTAGACAGGCATGTTTATGACAGACAGTCCTGGGGGGACAAGTATTTCCAGGGATCCTGTGAGGGGCCAGGGCTACAACACAAATAACTGGGTTTTCCTCAGCCTCACGGGATCCACTTTTTGTGTGATGTCACTTTTCTGGATTCCACTTCTTAGGGACGGATGACTCTCTTCACTTCAAGAGAGGCCTTCTCTAGCCATTTTTACCCCATTTTTATTTCTCTTTATTTTTTAAAGTCACACAGCCATTAAGTCACTTAGTAGGACAGAAACAATGCTGTAAGAATTGGACTGTAGCACCCCTACCCCCGGCCTTTTAATGAGGACAAGCTTATTTCCCCAGTGTCTTAAAAATCTGGGGGGGAGGGGGTCCTGACAGGCCTTGGGGAGCAGACAGGATGCCACACTGTTTCCCTATTGAGATTCTCTAGGTGAACCTTGGGAGGAGCAGAGCTTTAGAAGCATGGAGGAAGGCTTAGAGATGAACTTGCTAAGGACCTCTGTTGTAGAAGGAACTTAATACATCTGTAGTTTATTCCTGTATACAACTGTAGTTCTATCCCTTAAAACTTCTATTTGTGGAAGTGTTCAGAGCAGATGGACAAGATCACTGGGAAGTATTCATTCCTCCCACCCTACCCAATATAAACTTCCACGACTCTAGAGACCACTGGACCTGTACATTTGCACTCAACTGCCTGCATTTCCTTTTAAATTCACACCAGTGAAAGTCTCAACAACGAATTTCCACAAGTTCAGTATCTAATCCCAAAACTCCCAAATGACACGAGTACATATGTTTGAAACTTTAAATCAACTCAAATATTTAGATTTCACTCAGTATTTGTAAGCAGGTATAAAGTTAAAAGGCCAAACAGTTTTCAAGTAAGTGACTTTTATTTCTCTCTGATATTTCACAGTCAACTTCTATAAAACTTCACACTTCTCAAAAGAATTCACATTTGGTAAATAAATTTCTACCCTACACAATCCATGGCTGGAAAAACACTTCAATATATGCACGAGTTACTTTTCTGCTGAAGGAATCACAGTTAAGAAAAATCAGACAATACTATAATCAACAAAAAGCAATGAATGTAATAAATTACAAATGTCATTAAATTTCATTCCCATAACCGATTCAATCAGCAGCTTTTTCTAGATGTATTTCAACACTGCCAACAAAATCTGCCAAAAGTTCTCTTCAGAGTTGGTCTAAGAATGGCTTTTCACTTTCAGGAAATGGTAGCTCTGCCACAGTACTTCATACCAGATTAAATCATGCATTGCCAAGACCATTACTACTTACAGCCTTGTACAACCAATGGAGATCTTTCAACGAGGTTCCTCCATTTGCTGATGCTGGATTCTGGCTTCAATGGATTCCTCCTTCCAAAATCTAGCTTCTCTACTTGGCCTCATCTGCTTACAGCTCCACTAAGAAAAGAACACCCATGCTAACAGCCTAGAAAAGCTTCCAGCACTAGGCTGCAAAATCAGAGAAGAGCAGGGGGTAGTGCTGCTTCTCCCTGCCACTCAGCAGTGAGGATCGATGATGGCTTTCATCTTTCACTATGACAGGAAGGAAAATGCAAACCTTAATCTAGGAAGAAGAGCCCAAGAGACTTACAGCTCCACAGAGGGTTTTGCCAGTGGAATAAATTTGGTTCTCAGCAAGTGTTTTCAGATTTCTGACACTCAGTAAGACTCATGACTGGTGCCCAGGCTGTTCTGAATGCACCTGTCTCTATAGCTTTGCTGCCAAACATACTCTGCCAGAAAGGAAGCTTCCTAGCATGGTGCAGAGTCGGGCTGCTATAGTATCACATAGATTCAGGGGAGGCAAAGGGAATGGGCCAAGAGAAAAATATTAAAAGGAGCCGAGTCTGCTGAAAGACACATTTGCTCTGATTTTTACATTTCTTTCAGAAAGCAAATGGCAGGTAGTATTTCTGCATTGATCAGGGGAGTTTAGAGATTTTACTGAGTTGTTTAATTTCTAAATCAGTCATATGCAAGCCATACATGTTTGAGAACAAAATGTAGGCACTTTGAAACCTTATAATTTTTAAACTGTTAGAGTTATAACTATACCTAGTAAATATGAAAGTTCCTGGGTGGTGTAAATGGTTAATGCACTCAACTGCTAAATGAAAGGCTGGAGGTTTGAGTCCACCCAGAGGCACCTAGGAACAAAGATCTGGCAACGTACTTCCAAAAAATCAGCCACTGAAACCCTTACGGAGCACAGTTCTACTCTAACACACATGGGGTCGCCATGAGTTAGAACTGACTCAATGGCAACTGGTGAGTAATTATGATCATTAATTTCTGGCCTTGATAAAACTTGAAGAACGTTTTCCTTGCAGTAAAGATGAAGCTGGTCACACTGAACTTCTTACTAATTTGTAAAGTATAAAGATTTTGAAGAGGATGCAAATGAAAGGATAAAAACAAAGTTTGAAACTTTACTACTTAGAAATCTCGTTTACCTATACAGTGAAGCTGCAAAGAATGTGTATTTTCATCTTCTCATTTGGAAATTCTCATCACATTTCTAGATGAACTTCAAAGAAACCAACACTACCCCTCTGGCTTTGTTACCAATATCCAAAACAAAAGAAACACAGAAGACTGCCCCACAATTGCTCCATGACACTCTGACATGCGACAAATGAAAACTGTGGATGTGAAAAGAAAATGGATGAGAAGAATGTTTTCCAATTCACTGTGGACTTCTATATCATAATCTCAGGATGATTTTATTGAATTCAAAGGTTAGCAAATGTAACTATCACTTCTTTCCTTTTTTCACAAAAAAACAAAAACAAACTCATTGCCATTGAGTCGATTCTGACTCATAGCGACCCTACAGAACAGAGTAAAACTGCCCCACAGGGTTTCCAAGGAGCACCTGGTGGATTCAAACTGCTGATCTTTTGGTTAGCACCGTAACTCTTAACCACTACGCCACCAAGGTTTCCTTTTTACATAAAGGGGAAGAAAAAAGAGGCGGCAGAGAGTTAACTTATACTACACTCTTAATTAACACTGAAGCTACCGTTGAGGGTTTTAGACAAAAAGAGGCTGCATTGTTTCAAATGAAGAAAAACGCATAAATCACCAGAATCTTTCAGCACCTGACCAAGAGATGCTGGCCATGTCTACTTTCTTCAGATTACAAGTAAAAAAAGCAATCTATCAAATGAAATTCCAGATATTACTGAATCCATTCTTTCCATACCTTAAATATCTGAAGTATTTTGCCTACCAGTTTAAGTGAAGAGAAATCTGGCTTGTGATTAAAGAATATGAGTCAAACGGCACTACTCTTTCCCCTCAACTTTCAAGTTTAAGAAAACAAAGTTGTAAGTGATTAAGCTGCTTGCACCCAAGGCCCAACCTGTGCCGAAAGCATTTTAGGCTTCACCTAACTGGCACGATGCTATGGGGAATGCAAACATACTTCCTCTTATTTTCCTCTGTGATTAAGACACTCAAGGGAAGATCACGAAGGCATCCTATGTCGCCCACACCCTGGCTCCACAGGTGTCCCTCTGTACACCCATCTGTGTCATTTCGCCCTTCATCCAGGTAGTGAGTGGGACAGTGGGAGGTGACAGCTACAGAAGCCCCAGAGAGTCATCTCTCCTGCTTTGCCCCATGATCCACCTCAGTGCCTGCAGGCTACCGAAAAGGGACTCAAAGATACTGTAACTCTGAGGCCCTCAGTGGAGGGGCGACATACGGAATCTGCACATAGACCACAGGTTAAGACAGCAGCCAGGTACTGGCAGGTGGCTTCATATGTGAACCACTAAACAGTTTAAATTTAGAAGGAAAAGCTTACGTAAGCTTTGGGAAACAGGAGTAGATAACAGCAAAAGAATTAAAAGAACCACTCAAGTAACAGGAACATATGCCTCTGTGCTATATGTCTGGGTGATCAGAGAAAGCTTCTAGGTCACTGCCAGTATGACTGGACCCAGATGTTAAAGATGCCTGTAGCTTGGCCCAGGCCTGAGGAGCCCTGCTCTTGGTGGCCTCTATAAACAGCTGGATTTGTTCCTTTAGCTGGTCTAGTTCCACCTGAGTTGCCTGGTTCTGCCGAATCAACTCCTTGGTTTTCAAAGTGATTTCCAGCAAACCGGATTTGTGGAGGACTACCAGGGTATTCTGAAAGCGCCTGTGTTTGCTCTGCCGCTGCTCTGTGAAGAGATCGGGGCTGCGGCAGAGGTGCTCTGCAGCCCACAGAGGGGAGCTATAATTAGCTGACAGTGGGGACAGGGGAGAGCTGCTCTCTAACCCATGCAGAGTACTGTCTGAGGCGCAGACAGGACTGGCGGGGGAAGCAAAGGTCAGGCTGGGAGCTTTAGCCACGTGGCTGCTGGATACTGGCTGAAGAGTCTGTGGACTTCCACCTGCCACCAGGGAGGGCACGCCCTGCAGAGCTGAGTCCTCGGCAAGTTTGGCGCTGGGTGGTGCTGGCGTTGAGGGGCTGGGCAGTACAGCATCAGGCTTGGTAGGCTCGCCGGAAGACACGCTGGGCCCAAGTCTCTCAGTACAGATTTTCTTCTGCATCCCACTTTCCCCTCTTTCTTCTGGGCTGAGTGAAAGGCCCCTTTTGCCCGGGTGTGGGGCTATTTTGGTGTAAGAATTTAGAATGGGCAGGTAGTTCCTGGAGTCCGACTTTTTCTCACCAGTGTGACATGGGCTGATGGGAGAGGGTACAGGTGGATGAAGGAACAGGAGCTGAGGCTGTGCTGAGATGACTTCAAAGGAGGGCTGGACAGTCCAGGACTGGAGCTGGGATGAGCTGCTGCCCTGAAAACAGAGGGAGACAGCAGCACACTACTTATGACCTGCTGAAAGGACAGATGATGGAAGCTTCCACTGAAGGGGCAAAGCAGACCCTCAGGCATTAATAACAATTTCAAGTACAGAGTTTCCTTCACATACAGGGTAGCCCTTGTCAAGAACAGGGTTGGAGAAGAAATGGCTTGAAAATCTATTCATGTTTGGTAGCACAAACTTTTTTTTTTTTAAACGTTTCTTATGGGAAAAACTGCTATTACTCAGGAAAAAAAACTGTAGATAGCTGAAATGACATACTTAAGGTCATGAGAAGGCAGTAAAAATAAGGGCAGTACAATTTCCTGGCATAAATTAAACCATGATAATCTCAAGACTATAAATATGACTTTACACCAAAGCTTATCTGCATTTAGTTACATCTGGAACCTTTTACCTGAAATTTTTCTGATTATAAAGTTACACATTGGCAGGAATTTATGGGTCTGTTTTTAAGGCAGTGACACCCAACAATCATAAAATCATTCAAAATAATAATCACTGCCATTTGTTGGGTGTGTATTATAGGCTAGCACTGTGTGTGATGTTCTGCACGGGTTACTGCATTTACTCCTTATGACAACCTCATGCGGAGTTATCATTTCCCTTCATAAACAGGAAACCGAGGCTAGAAAGCTGAAATAAGTAACTCACTTTAAGTCACTGAGCTACTAAGTGATGAAGCTAGGATTCCATACTCTGTCTAAAACCCATCCTAACCATTCTGCTATACTGCCTTTGTTATATTACTCTTCGACTATACATTTTTATTTTTAAAGTACTGATTCAGATGGAAGTCTACTAAAGAAGATCCTGGATACTTGTCTCCAATATTTAAAAGCCAGTCCAGTTCCAACGTGGGCCCAAAGACATGAGTGCAGATGAGGTCAGGCAGAAAGAGAGCCTGACAGAGGTCCCTGTTCTTGGTAGGGTCATGGACTCGTTTGATTTACCTGTAGAAAGCTACGGACACATGCACAGGCACACTATTTCAGCTTCTTGGGTGCGAGGCTAGGAACTTCAGGCCAACTACAATCCATCTCCCATGCAAAGACTAGGATGGTCTAGAGAGTCTGCTCTGGAGCCCTCTTGGTGTCCAAATATACCCTGGGATGCACACAGGCAAGCAGTGCCAGGACCAGAAACCACATCTCCCTGTTAAAGGAAATCCAAAACTCCAGGGGTGTTTCAAAGCAGAGTTCAACCTAATTCAGCTCAGTCAGAAGCAGAACTTCAGGCTGCCCCCAAATCAGACTCAGGCCCTAAGGGTGACCTACAACGTAAACGGATCAAAAAATTACCCAGTCCATTACTTTTCCAAGATGATTTTACTGGACTGTTCTTCAAGTGCTGTTGTTATACCCACTGTCCTGTACATACTTAGCTCATCTGTTCTAATTATTAAGATTTTACAAACTGCATTATTCGTGCTGAAATCATCTGAGGGAACTTGGAATAGAGTTTTAGACTTGGATGGGATGTTAGAATCATTTCGCATAAAGCCTTCATGTTAAAGATGAAGAAACTGAGGTCCATGGTGGCTAAGTAATTGTGTGCAAGATCAAACAGTCTAGGGGCAGAACTGGAATCAGACCTTCAAATAAAAATACCTAAAACCAAGCAGCGGTAAGCAAGATATTACATAATAGGCAGAGATTTAAGAGGTATATTATTATTTTAATTTCAGAATGTGTTGAACTCTATCATGTTCAAACAAAACAAACCCTGGACTATTCCATCAGGTCAGCCAGTCCCCTAGTTTCCTGATGGAGCCCAGCAGCCTTCCTGGCTGGTCTTTTGTCAGGAAGAATGTTGCTTTGCTGGAAAAGCCTACTTACTCCTTAACTGTGGGCTGTTCTCAGCCTTCTGGAGCTGCCAGTCTAGCTTACAACAAAGAAGGGATATAAACACAGACGCACATAAAGAGTGGCAAGGGAGTGGAGACAAAGGCAGGGAGAAAAAGAGCCAGGAGAAAGGAAGCCCAGGAGAAGCCGCCACTCCCACAGCACTGGGGGACCCAGAACAATCTCATTTGGGCTCCATTTCCTGTCTTTATTCTCTCCTTTCATTCCAATAAGAGGAGCTGTGCTTCCAGCTGAGACGTGATGTACCAAGCAAAAATCTTCAAATACTTTTTCCTAACTCACCAGGTTACCTTGTTTCTACAGTTTCCCATCAGTTTGTGTTCCTCAGAAATAACTAGGCAATAGTTAAGACTTTAATTAGTTTCTTGTAGGACTACAGCCATGTTCTTCCAACCTTTTTATGGAAGGTCAACTACAGAAAGTCAGCTTTCAACTTTTACTATCTTCAAGCAGCCTCCTCAATGGACCCACGTGAGAAGTGTGATGTATTTTCAGAGTAAAACAGAGGAAGGTTAAATGTTCTTTGGTTTAAGTCCGTCTTTTCTATTCTTCAGACTTCTTTATTCTAATTTCACCAAGTTCATATGATTGAGTTCTCAGTTTCAAATACCAGAGCTTAACTTAGCTTTTCATCTAAATCTCTCTTTTCTTTCATATCTAGACAATAATTGCATAACATGCATAGTTATGTAATAAAGCCTGAAACAGGATATTTTTCAACTCTGCAACAATGCCATGTGGAAGGTGCTGGTATAGTCAGACCTAAACCAAACAGCTTCTTTGTCGCTCATGACATAGCTTTGGCTGAAAACTAAGAAAATGCTCAGAATGTGACATAAGAACATGCAAACTGCCTCTACCTCTGAAACAAATAAATGCATGCTACATTTCTAATTTCCTAAGGCGATTCAAATTAAAAGGAGACTCTGTGCTTCTGCCATATGTTAGAATGTACTACTAAGTGACATTTCTGCTTGGTCCCTTTACAAATGACTAAAGCATTTTAGAGTCCCTTTGGACAAACAATGGATACAGAAATAAAGTAGTCTTCTTGTCTCGAAAATGAGAATACATGTCACGATTCTGGTATTCATTTTTAAGGCAGTGACAGTAGCTGAAGGTAACGTCCTTCTCCCAGGACAGAAAGGATTCATCAGTGCGCCTCTAGCAGTCTGTTTTTAACACCTGTCGTTGGCAGAGATGGCAAGGCTTTTAACAAGGAAAGCTCAGAAACTTTACTCTGCAAAGACTTTAGGAGACGTTGGTCCTCCTCACCTGTTTGACCAACACATTCTTCATGACGACCATGGGGGACAGGGTTGGGAAGGCATTGTTTGCAGTCCTGGAGCTCTGCCTCGGCCTGTCTTCTCGGCTCCAGCCTAAGGCGCTCAGCGTGTCCTCGGACTCCATCTGCTCTGCGGAGCTCAGACATTCCGAGCTCCCATCTGGTGGGCAGAAGAATGGTCAGTTCATTCACGCTCTAGGCTAGGGGCTCCTAACCTGGCTTCCAGGGAGCCATGAACCCCTTGAAATTGAATGTAACGTTTATGAGATGTGTTTTTATACATTTTTCTGAGGACAGGGTCTGTATCTTTCACCAGATTCTCAACAGGATCCATAACTCTCCCCTGACCCCAAAATATTAAGAATCACTGCCCTAGGACAGCCTGACTTCCTTTCTAATGCTCTTGCAGAGAAAAGCCAGTGTCAGTTAGGGTTCATGCGAAGTGGTCATCACCAAAGTCTACCAGAGAAACAAGCTGAAGGCTTCAAGTTAGTTCATTCCTTCCTAGAATCTGTTGTTGACAGGGGAGGGAAATGTGTGACCCAGGGCAGGATTGAGACCTTCAGAGGCACTGGGCACAAGATGTAATTGTAATAATAAAAACAGAACCAGTCTGTAAGCCTCAAATTTTATATCCATGCTGAAATTAAAATTACTTCTTTACTAAATTTTCTAATTGTAAAATTCTGGATAAGTTCATCAAAACTGAAGTTTAAAATTTGTCTTTGTTGTTCTCCTTCCACCCCATCCCTGTAAATAATCCTTTGTTGGTGTCCTAAATGCATGCTGAGCATGCCTATTGGGAATCCTACACAATGGGTAAGAGCAAGATTCTCTCCAGGAACTCTGAGGTGAAAAAATAACCGTGTGTGTGTATAGAGAGAAAGAAAGCAAACATGGCAAAATGAGAAAACCAGTGGATCTGAACGATACCTGGGGTATTCATTCAATTTTCTATAGGTTTGAAATTTTTCAAAATAAAAAGTTGATATAATTAAAGTGGAGGGGAAAAAAAAACTAACTTGGTTTTGCAAATTTCATCACACTCCAAGTTAATGGAATAATCACTTAGGCAGCAATGAAATCACTGGCACCTGGCCCAGGAGTGGCTGGAGGCATTCATGGGGGCCACTTTCTGGGACATAATGATTTCTGATTATTTTTTATACCTCCTTATATCTGAAGAGTGCAATATTTTTTAAAGCACCTCTACACAGAGGATGAGAAAACTATGTGAAATATCCCAACTGTATGATATTCTACAGTGTCTCCAAATTGCTACAAGGAGAAGTAGCATAATGTCAACAGTATTGGGAATAATCGCTGATAGGATTAAGGGTAATTTTTATGTTTTTCTTTGTACTTTTTTTTAATTTGCAAGTTTATATAATGAGCATGTATTGCCTCCATAATACGAAAAAATGACAAAAACTTGATATTAAAAGAAAAAACAAAAAAATCAAAAAAACACTAGACCTGCAATGTTTCCCAAACCTACCTAATTATACGAATCACCCAAGACACTTGTAACCAACTCAGACTCCAGGTCCCCCTTCAGACGTTCTAAATCAGCACCTCCAGGAGAGGGAGCCTGGTGGTCAGAATTTGTAACAAATGCCTCGAATGCACTTACGAGGAGGTAAGTTTGGGAAGCCACGCTAAGAGATAGAAAGGGAAAACCCAAGGGCTACAGGCTGGCCTGCCCTCCCCAGGCCTGTCCTGACAATGGGCAGGGCAACTCATGCCTCTTATTCTAATCCCTTGGTCAGTGCTTTGTTCCTCTCTGAGCAACTATTTATAATTAGGCCTCTCATGCGGTATGCCTACAGGGAGAAAACGCACCAATCTAACAATGAGAGAGTTCTAGTTTTCCTGACAGCTGCATTTCTCACTATAAATTAATAAATCAACAAGACTGATTGATTAGTCCTGTGAGCTTGGATAATATAAATTTTCCCCTAGGAGAGGGCTCAACTCTCAGGAAGCTGACCCAGCCAGAATTCCCTGGCATCACCCCTCTGCATTCCCAGTGCCAAAACTGTTGACACTAGAACCATACTGAAACCACTATCCTGAGACCTGGAAATAAAAAAGAGACTCAGCACAAAATTAAAAGGTTTACTGGGTATGCATCTAGCTCTGTCAGAAAAGGTTTATGACAAAGAAGTAAGGAAAATTATTCTACTCCCTTGTCACAGATACTCAAGTTTGGAACTGGGCCAAGTGGCTCACAGTTCAAACACAAAATCCACGGATACTGGGGGAATGGAGTGTGAGGGAATGTGTGTTTAAACCAGGGCTTCAAACTGGTTCGAACTCGCTAATAATGTACCTTTCCACTCCAGATATACTGACTGGGAATCTACATTGTAACAAGATCCTAGGTGATTCTTATGTATAATAAATTCTGAGTGGTTCTCAGAATTGGTCCCTAACCAGCAGCATTAGCATCACCTGGGAACTTAACAGAAATGCAAATTCTCAGCAATAGTTCGAACGTAACAAACCAGTTCAGTTGGAAGCCTGAGTTAAACTCAGCAAAATTACTTTCTAAGTAAAAAAGTTTTCTTAACAAATTATATACTGCTTTTGTTTAACTGGGAGCCCTGGCAGCGCAGTGGTTAAGAGCTATGGCAGCTAACCGAAAGGTTGGCAGTAAGATTTGAAGTTGAGGATCTGAGTTGAGAAAAGATGTCAAGTCATTCTTTCAGAACTAGCCCCATGGTTACTTTGACTGGTACCTGCCACATGGCATCACAATTACCATTGTGTAAATCAGACAGACCATTATTCATCCTGTGTGGGAAAGCATCCCATCCTTACCACACAAATGGTTTTGGGGAGGAAATTTTTCTGGTAAATCATTCATTACAATGTAGCCAGGAAAAGGTATTTGTAACCTGAAAATCCTGAGTCCTTATCCGACTCAGCAGCCGCCATGCCGAGTTGACGAGCCACCTTCTTCATCTCTGTCCCTTTGCCTAGTTTGGCCGAGAGTCTTCTGGGGCTCTCCCTGGTTGGGTTTTTCCTCTCCATGTTTTACTGGGCTGGAAGCAGATTCACCAATGCTCTCTTCATCTGATTGCCCTGCAAAAACAACAATTACACCAGACGTCATGGCCTGGAGAGCTGAAACAGGCGATCCAAATGCTGAGGAGCACAGGAAGAGCAAAGGAGGCTGGCCTCGCCCACTTCGGCTATATTCTCTCAGACATCTCAATTGACAAAGGCTTCAAGTTTACTACACAGTAGAATGGTTTCAATCCAAAAGCAGATTCACAGTTCTCTCACAGCCCCCTAATTCCATTAGAAATTCAAGGCACACGAACCACAGTTCAGTAGAAGCTTTGTAAGCTGTGAACAAAGGCACAGTTTTATTAGGCTTTTTGGAATGGGTAACCTTGATGCTGACAGACAAGGCTTGCTTTCCCGGTATACATTTGCAGGCTCATGACCTACTGCAACCTCCCATGGTGTAGAGTTTCTCAACTAACCTCTCACTTCTTTGGATGAGGTAATGAACGAGTAAAAACAACTCCTAATACAGGTATGCTACTTTTTTGGCTTAAAAAACTGTTATGCACAAATAAAATCATACATAATAAAGTGCTTTGATTACATAAAAAGTGAGTTCATAACGTTGTTAACGTTACCTTACAAAGACCTCATAATGGCCTCCTCAGTTGCTATCCCATTTTACAGACGAGGAAGTTGAGGCTGAGATAAGTAGTCAGTCATTTATTTATCAAGTGCCCACTATGAACCAGGTATTCTGCTAGGCCTGGGGATATACAGTGAATAGGACAGGCGTGGTCCCTATCTTCCTGGAACTTATAGTCTACGGAGAGAAACAAACATTAAGCAAGTAATCACAAACCTAATTAATTACAATTTTGATAAGAGTTATGAAGAAAAAACCAAACCCAAACCCACTACCGAGTCAAGTAACCCTATAGGACAGAGTAGAACTGCCCCCGCGCCCCCACCCCGGGTCTCCAAGGAGTGGCTGGTGGATTCGAATTGCCAGCTTTTTGGTTAGCAGCCGTAGCTCTTAACCACTGCGAAGAGCTATGAAGGAGAGTGGATATTAGTCTGGGGGATCTGGAAAGGGAAGGCTTTCCCGAGGAAAGGACAGGTAGCTAGACTCTGCCTGATAAGGTCATAGGAATCAGGCAGGTAAAGGGGGATGGGTGAGACGTGGTATACTCCAGACAGTGTGAAGGCCCTAAAGGAGCAAGGAGCTTGGTACATTCAGAGCTGAAAGACCAGGGAGACTGAGGTACAGTGCAGAGGAGGTCGAATGCTGTGCACTGGCACTAGGGAGGTAGGTGGGGAACAGACAAGCAGTGCCTTGTAGCCCACATTAAAGACTTTAGACATTTACTTAAGAGCAATGAAAAACCACAGAAGGATTTTAATCAGAGAAGTGACATGACCAAATCTGCTTTTTAAAAGCATTTTGGATGCTGGGTAGAGACTGAATTGGAGAGAGGCAAGAATGACACTGGGATCATTTGGATGCTACCACAGTAGTTTAGGTTGTGGCAGCAGAGATGGAGAGAAATGAAGAGATTGGAGATATATTTAGGTGGCTGACTTGATGGGATTTGGTTATTTTATGTAGGGGGTCATTTTCTAAGCTAGGGAGTTAAGGAGAGCACAGAAGGGAGGTAGGTGAGGTGGGCCAGGGTGAGGTGGTTAGAGTTTAGTTTTGGCCACATAGAGTCCGAAGTGACTGTGGATCATCTAAGTGGAGATGCTGGTAGGCAGACAGATAAACAAGCCTGGAGCCCAGGAGAAAAGCCTAAGTTTGCCCCAGTGGCACACAAGTAGTCCATAGCAGGTCCACAATTAGGCTAACAATACAAAGATAGACCAGTTGAAGGGCTGACAGAGGCTGAGAATGTTCCAGATACTTTATCTCAAGGCAGAAAGAGCCCTGGTGGCACAGTGGTTAAAGTGCTCAACTGCTAACTGAAAGGTCAGCGGTTCAAACCTACCAGCCACTCTGTGGGAAAAAGATGCGGCAGTCAGCTTCTGTAAAGATTTACAGCCTTGGAAACCCTATGGGGCAGTTCTACTCTGTCCTATAGGGTTGCTATGAGTCAGAATCGACTCTACAGCAGTGGGTTTGGGTTTTTTGGTTTTTATCTCAAGGCCACTTGAGTTACCAAGGAATAGCTGCTGTCAGGTTGGCATAATAAGAACACATCGATACTGCTAAGATAAAGAGAATAAGGAGCTGTGATGGAGTGAATTGTGTCCCCCAAAAATGTGTATATCTATTTGGCTAGGCCCTGATTCCCAGCATTATGTGACTGTCCACCATTTTGTCATCTGATGTGATTTTCCTATGTGTTGTAAATCCTATCTCTATGGTGTTGATGACATGGGATTAGCGATAGTTGTGTTAACGAGGCAGGACTCAATCTACAAGATTAGATTGTGTTTTTAAGCCAATCTCTGTTGAGATATAAAAAAGAGAAGTGAGCAGAGAGATATGGGGACCTCACAGCACCCAGAAGGCAGTGCCAAGAGTACAGCATGTCCTTTGAACCTAGGGTTCCTGCACGGAGAGGCTCCTAGAGCAGGGGAAGGTTAATAACAAGGACCTTCCTCCAGAGTCGACAGAGAGAGAAAGCCTTGCCCTGGAGCTGGCGCCCTGAATTTGGACTTCTAGCCTACTAGACTGTGAGAGAATAAACTTCTGTTTACTGAAGCCATCTGCTTGTGGTATTTCTGTTATAGTAGCACTACATAACTAAGACAGGAGCCAACAGTGAAAATGACAATAATGAAATTGGGTAGGTGTAAGCAAAGCCTGGTGATGTTTTAATTCAGAATCCACTTGTGACTCCATTCTTTTGTCCTTCTGAGTGGGTAGAAACACAAGTCCCCTGCCAGACTGCACTTTATCTGGGATGCCTGAAATACCAAGCTTGAACATTTCTGCTAATACAGGGCCTAATGCAGGACATTAACTACTCGAGAAACAGAGGAAGAATTCAAATTAAATTAAACAGCTCAAGGATGATTAGGAGCATCCTTGCTCAAATTTTTGTATACCGCAGGAGTGGACTTTAGGGAATACCACCTGGTCTGAATGAGACTGAATTTTAAACACAATTTCAAGTAAAAATTCTTTTGCACCATATCTAACTCATTGAAGGGGACTGGCTTCCTCATTGAATTCACGTCAAAACATCAAAGAATTCAGAGGTCACATGTTTAACCCCACAGGCATAAAAGACCGACAACAGGACTGTCACATCTTGCATAGCACTGCGCAAAAGCCATGTCTCTCTATCTGACAGCTATGAAGTCGCAGATCCAGTTAAAAAAAAGGAGACTAAGATGTAAAATTGTATCTTTAATTAAATCAGGATCCTTTTGTGTGAAATGTAAAAACTGCACATAGCTTAATTTTCTTGCAAATAATACTGTCCAAGTGAAATGAAGGCATGTTCAAAATGGAAGTAGACGTGGCTTGTGAATGGCATTCAGATTAATTCAAGCCTGATCATGCTGCTGAATTAGATCAGGAAGGTAGCTCATGTTAGTTGCAACTAATTAAGACCGCAACCAAGTTTTACAAGATCTTACACTAAACACAATTATTTCACAGGAATTTAGGTGAAGCATCCCAATTGAGTCTTCTACATTCCTTGTGACACGGCAAGAAAAAAAGGTCTTATTATTATTAAAGGGGGTCCCTGCAGGGTGCAAAAGGAGCACTCGTGGCACACTGGTTAAGCGCTCAGCTGCTAACCGAAAGGTCGGCGGTTCCACCCCATCAGCAACCCATCAGCCCTCTGCGGGATAAAGATATGGCATCTACTTCCATAAAGATTACAGCCTTGGCAACCCTACAAGGCAGTTCTACTCTATTCTACAGGGTAGCTGAGTCAGAAATGACTCAACAGCAACGGGTTTTGGTTTGGGGTAGCGCAAATGGTTAATATGCTCAGCTGCTAAACAAATGGTTGGAAGTTCGAGTTCACTCAGAGGCTCCTGGGAGGAAAGGCCTAATGACTGGCTTCTGAAAACTCAGCCACTGAAAACCCTACAGAGCACAGTTCTACTCTGACACATAAGGGGTTGCCATGAGTTGGAGCCGACTCAACAGGAACTGGTTTTTGCTATTTTTACAGTGTAGCGAACAGGGCTACAGAAAACACTTGGGAATTTATTCTGGCTCATGGAGAATTTGCAAGACAATATTGATTGTGGAATCAAAATACTGAAATGTTGGCAAAGAAGTTAAAAGGAGGAAGAATGCTAAAATTTTAAATCCTGGGGAAATGGTGGAAATTGAAAATAAAGAACACATGACCTACTTTAAAAGGGTAAACTGGCTATTTTGGATGTGAAAGTGATTAAAAATATGAAAGGCTGTGTTCTATGTAAAGTTCTCTTTAAGCAGGAGAAATCCTGAATGTTCTAGAGAGGTTCAAGTGGGGTGGGAATGAAGGGCTACATCCCACATTGACCTTTCTTCTGAGAGGAAGGCACTTCCTGCCTGTGGAGTGGCTCTGAAGTGGTCAATTACCAGTGAACAACAGACCCACTTAGCCAAAGCACCAAATGAAATCCTGGACAGGAGAGAAGCAGATGGTGATGGTGTTCACTATTAGTGCTCTCAAACCCAGAGCCACGCAAATAGCAAAGTCTGAAAACCTCAAGAAGTTGCTTGACTTTTTTCCTCTTCAGTATTATTTACAAGTTAGATCTTTGTAAGCCGACTAGGAGTTAAAAACGGGTTACTGAGCTCAGACCCTCTGTCATCTCTGCATTTCTGACATAGACTGGAAGCCACTAACACTGTTTTACAAACATCTTAGCTCCTCTGTGTTTAACTCTGCATTAGGACTCCAATTTAAACTCCAAAAACTGTCAAAATGACCCAGCTGGGCCTCTTACGAGTGTACATGTGACACACTGTCCAAAAGGCTCGCAGAGAGCATAGAACACAATAAAACTCATAATTTAATAAATTCAATAAGTAAATATATAGGTTTGTTTAAATAAATATCAGATAAAATTCTAACCAAAGTTCTACAATTAATAATTTTAAGTGCTTCATAGCACTTGGCTCTTCTTTTTGAACTTTTTGTATCAGTCTAATTGTTTGTCTCAACCTCAAAGGTTGTTTTTTCATCTTTGCAACCTCAGCCCTCAGCAATTAATATGCCTGCAAAACATGTGAGGTACTCAACAGAATAATAAATTCCAACAAATCTTCTGTCCTGCTGGGTCTCTCTGACAACCCTGGCAGCTTAGCGGTCACCAAAATACCCCAACAGCCAGAAGGTGAAGATTCTGCATTTCCAAACACCATGGTCATCTCTAAATCTACAAATATCTCATCTACCCCTTATTTTTAAAATGAAACCTCTCCTACAACTGCTCCAAATTAAAGGGAGCTACATCTCTAATCCACAATCTCTTTGGAGATTTGGGTTTATGATAAAAAGGAGACCCAAGGGTTACAAGGAAAGGATGTGAAATGCTGTTTTCAGATCCTTTCCTTTTATAGATAGCTGGCAACCTTTCCAAGAGCTCGAGTTCCCTTTAAAATGTGTCACGTGTATATCATGTGTGCATGGACAGAGATGTGAGGTTAAAGCCCAAGCAGAGGCTTACATGCAATAAAACGACAAGGCCACGGGGAGAAAAAATACCTTACCATCCAGAAAACCATGAGTAATCCCAGTTAGAATTATAAACATATTATTAGGTTTCCTCTGAAGTCATCTTCTTTTGGTCTGCATATTCAGAGATACCATTCTGGGGGGAAAAAACCATCTACCTAAATCTCTAAATTTCATCTTCCCCTTCACATCCATTTTCATTCTCCAACTTGTCTGCTAATTCATGTCAAAGATCCTGAATCCAATTTCCTATGTATGGAACAGGCCTGGGTCTCTCCATTCTCCCTTTAAAGAGGACGTCAGATTAGAGAACTTCCTCACATCTCCTGCTTCAAGAAGGGTTCACAGTAACAGGGCCCACCTACCCATTCACACCAGCCCACGCTGCATCTGTGCCAGGCAGCATGAGCACCGTCCAGGCACCCACCAGCCTGCCAGCTCAGTGGGGCAGAATTGGGCAAACCCTAGTACTGTGATGTGACTGGCATGCCACCAGCCTCCCAGGGCAAACGCCCAAGCAATGAGTATTGCCAGGACTTGGGTAGTAACACGGATCCTAGCTCCAGCCTGTGCCCTGGGCTGGGCTCAGAGCTCTCCTCAACCCGCCCACTAACCACTAACTCCTTACTTGGCACTACCTATCCTTCTCCCCCACACCTCCACCCCCTGGCACCATGCCTGGCATGCTGGCCACCCAGGAGAAATACTAGGCAAAGAGGGTGACAGCAGGTCTCTATAAACGCAGCACACCTGTGCCCTAGACCCAGAACGGCGCACTGCCTGCATCCCCAAACTGGAGGTCCAGGTCCCTCACCCTGATACCAGGCCCCGTGCCCACTCATTTACTCATTCCCTGCCCCTCTACTCGGAGCCCTGCAGGCCTCTGGACTCTCTCCCCGCCCGGCTGGTGCCCCTGGGGCTAGACCAGGGCCCACCAGCCATAACTGTCCTACCCGCACTTCACACAAGTCCCCTCACCACACACAGCCCCCTCGTTACTCTAGACTCCCTCTCGCACGCAGTCCCCGCCCCTCACCGCAAAACCAACTAAATTGGGGGAGGGACACACAACCCCTTCCTCCCCCCATTTGGCCGCTGAGCCCCGAAAGCCCCAGTTCTCCCTCTCACTTACCTCACTCCCCTTCTTCTCCGCTCCCACCCTTTTTTCCGACGCTCCTCCCACAAACCCTCCAAGGTCGGGCCATCCCTGCTCCCCTCCCCCGCGCCCAGCCCTCCCTTCCTCACCTAGGGCCGGGGTCGCGACTCCAAGACCGAACCCGTTCGTCAGGTGGCGCATGCGCGAGCCCGGCCCGGCGGCTCCATAACAACCCCGTCGTCGCCCGCTCTGGAGCTATCCCCCAAGCCTCCCGCCTATTTCTCCTCCCCCCGCCTCCGCGGCCGCTCTGCCAGCCACGTGACGTGCCTCGGCGTCCCGACACCATAGAGACTGCCCGCTGCTCTCCTAGAAGGGCACTTCGAGAGGTATCTTTCCCCTCCGCCAGCCAGCGAGGCCGGCCCGGGGGCGGAGACGTTCTTAAGAGGCCGGCGCTCTCTCCGCGGAAGGCGGACATCTCTGTGGTTGGCCTAGGAGGTGTTCGCTGCCATTTTGGCTGGGGGCCTTGAGCAACGAGCAACGAGGGCACGGTTTCGAGGCGGGGTTTTGAGAAACCGGGGGCCGGCCGGGTTATAGCCGATTTGGGAGGAGGCATGACTCTCTTGAGGGAGCGGGTGGAGGCTGGGCAGGGGGAAACTGCTCTCTTGGTTTGTACCGCTGGGCACCCGTTCGGGACCGGGCCTAGCCGTGCCGTATTTGCATAAGGAGCCCCTGGCGACCGTTCCCGGCGTGGGCAGGAGGGCGGGGCAGCCTCGTGACTGACGGAGGCGTTCCCCGACCTTTTCGTTCGCTGCTCACGTTTTTTCCGCGCTAGTCGCACTGGTTGGTTTGCGTTCCTGTCTAACCCGAGCAGAGGGTGCTGGAACAGGCAGGGGCGCAATGAATATTTTTGTTGAATGATTTCATACCATTTGATGTTTGAATCCCTTTGTCCAATGCGACCGTCGAAGCTGTTGGGTTTTTCTTTTTGCTTCATTATTATTTTTTATTGTTGAAAACACAGCAGAACATAAACTAATTCACCAGCTGATTACATTCTTCAAGTTGTGCAACCATTCTCAACCTCCTTTTTTTATTATTATTTTTAAAATTGTGCTTCAGGTGAAAGTTTACAGCTCAAGTTCATTCCTCATTCAAAACTTTATACATATTTTATGATATTGGTTGCAATTTCCATACTGTGAAGCACCTTCCCCCTTTCCACCCCAGGTTCCCTGTGTCTGTTCATCCCATTGCTGTACATTCCTGCCTTCTGCTTTTGGACCGGAGCTGCCCATTTGGTCTCCTGTATCTGATTGAACTAAGAAGCACGTTCCTTACGTGTATTATTTTTTGTTTTATACTCCTGTTTAATCTTTGAAGAGTGGACTTTGGGAATGGTTTCAGTTCTGGGTTAACAGAGTATGGTGGGGGGCATAGTTTCGGGGGTTCCTCCAGTCTCTGTCAGACCATTAAGTCTCGTCTTTTTATGTGAATTTGAATTCTGTTCTACGATTTTCTCCTGCTCTGTCTGGGACTCTGTTGTGTTTCCTGTCTCTCCCCCTCCTTTTCTGAATTGTTCGTCCCCTATTAAACTCACTGCCCCATGAGTTTCCTATGTAAACATTGGGGTTGCTCTTGCCAATTTTATCCCATATAGATAGTTCTTTAAAGAGCCCTATACTCAAGGCAGACATTCTTACTAATTCAGCTGTTGTTAGGTGCCATCATGTCAGTTCTGACTCATAGCAGCCCTATGTACAATAGAACGAAACACTGCCTAGTCCTGCACCATCCTCACAATCATTCCTATGTTTGAGCCCATTGTTGCAGCTATTGTGTCAGTCCATCTTGTTGAGGGCCCTCCTCTTATTCACTGACCCTCTACCAAGCATGATGTCCTTCTCCAGGGACTGGTCCCTCCGGATAACATGTCCAAAGTACATGAAACGAAGCCTCACTTCTAAGGAGCATTCTGGCTGTATTTCTTCCAAAACAAGACATGTTCATTCTTGTGGCAGTCCATGGTATATTCAGTATTCGTTACTAACGTCATAATTCAAAAGCATCAATTCTTCTTCAGTCTTCCTTAGTCGTTGTGCAGCTTTTGCATGCATATGAGGCGATTGAAAATACCATTGCTTGGGTCAGGTACACCTTAGTCCTCAAAATGACCCTTTGCTTTTTAACACTTGGAAGAGGTCTTTTGTGGCACATTTGCGCAGTGCAATACATCGTTTGATTTCTTGACTGCTCCTTCCATGGGCGTTGATTGTGGATCCAAATAAAATGAAATCCTTGACAACTTCAATATTTTCTCCGTTTATCATGTTACTGCTTATTGGTCCAATTGTGAGGATTTTTGTTTTATGTTGAGGTGTAATCCATACTGAAGGCTGTAGTCTTTGATCTTCATCAATAGGTGCTTCAAATCATCTTCACTTTAAACAAGCATGGTTGTCTCATCTGCATATTGCAGGTTGTTAATAAATCTTCCTTCAATCCTGATGCTGCATTCTTCTTCATATAGTCCAGTTTCATGGATTATTTGCTCAGTGTACAGATTGAGTAAGTATGGTGAAAGGATACAATCCTGACGCACACCTTTTCTTATTTTAAACTATACAGTATCACCTTGTTCTGTTCGAACGACTGTCTCTTGGTCTATGCACAGGTTCCACATGAATACAATTAAGGGTTCTGGAACTCCCATTCTTTGCAATGTTATCCATAATTTGTTATGGTCCACACAGTCTAATGCCTTTGCATAGTCAATAAAACACAGGTAAACATCTTTCTGGTATTCTCTGCTTTCAGCCAAGATCCATCTAACATCAGCAGTGATATCCCTGGTTCCACGTCCTCTTCTGAATCTGGTTTGAATTTCTGGCAGTTCCCTGTTGATGTGCTGCTGAAACCCGTTTTTAATTGTTTTCAGCAAAATTTTACTTGCCTGTGATATAAATGATATTTTCAATAACTTCCGCATTCTGTTGGATCACCCTTCTTTGGAGTGGGCACAAATATGAATGTCTTCAGTCGGTTGGCCAGGTAGATGACTTCCAAATTTCTTAGTGTAGATGAGCGAGCACCTCCAGCAGTGCATCCATCCAGTTGTTGAAATATCTCAATTGGTATTCTGTCAATCAGCCTTGTTTTTCGCTAATGCCTTTAGTGTAGCTTGGACTTCTTCCTTCAATACCTTTGGTTGTTGATCATATGCTACCTCCTGAAATGGTTTAATGTTCACCAATCCTTTTTGGTACAGTGACTCTGTGTGTTCCTTCCATCATCTTTTGATGCTTCCTGCGTCCAATATTTTGCCCATAGAATCCTTCAAAATTGCAACTCGAGGGTTGAGTTTTTCCTTTAGTTCTTTCAGCTTGATAATGAGATATATAGTATAAGCAATTCCTGAAAATGGATAATAAGTAATACTTTTATATAGCCAAACCAATTTATTTTTTAACTTTTCCTTTCTTTGTTAATTCACCAGGGTTTGTACATCAGCCTCTTTGTTGATAGCTTCCTGGTGCTTTAATCTTTACTCTCACATGCTTGGTTGGGCTAAGGTACCTATAACAGAGGGTGGGTTTTGAGGTATCATTTGGCCTTGCTTCTATCCTAGTTCCTCAGTTCCATTTGTGGTTTAAGACTCTCATTTTGCCACTACCACTTCCAGCAGGGGGAGACCTACTCCCTTAAATGCTACACTTATCAAAAAAAAAAAAAAAAAAACCCGTTGCCATCGAGTGGATTCTGACTCATAGTTACCCTATGGGACAGAGTAGAACTGCCCCATAGGGTTTCCAAAGAGCGACTGGTGGATTCTAACTGCTGACCTTTTGGTTAGCAGCTAAACTCTTAACGACTGCACCAGCGGGGCTCCAAATGCTACACTTGGGAATTTGCAATTTGCTGATAGGTTTTTTTTTTTCCCTTTCTCTGGTCATACAGGGTCAGAAAACTGCATCTTCTCCTAGCCTGCTTAAGTTGTTACCTGCCTTACCCACGTGGGCATTTGAGTTTTTAATCCTGCATAGATACCACGAAGAGTTAACCTTGTGCTGAATTTTATTTGAACATTTTAAAAAGTATACAATATAGTGTATAAT